GGCCACTACGTTCACACCTAGGCTTCAAAATGGTTTGGGGTGTCAGGCTACTGCACTGCTATCACTGTGCCAAGAGGTTTAGGCTAATTCCTGCTTTGGAATCTAGTTTGCAAAAGAGCAGGTCGCTTTCCCTTTCCACAGAGGGGTGTAGTGCCTCACCCACCACTACATGATGTTAAAATTGAATCCAAAACAGAGACTTGGCAACTGGCAACACCACACCTTCCTCGTGAAGGGGAAAGCTGCTCACCTAGCTTTTTCTAAATTTTCCATGGAAAACACCACTTCTGAAAACACTAAAATACTCCTTGTTTTTGTTTTATAATCTAAGATGCAGATTAAAATGTTTCATTTTCAAAAACAGCATGGGAATTTCTAAATTATTTTTTTCCCCATTTCAAAATGTAACCACTTTAATCAACCAGCTTCAAAGACCAAGATCTGCATCACAATCAGAATGTACCCTGTAGGTTATTCTTCCAGTCAAACAAGCACTGTTTGAAAAAAAAAATCTCCCATGTCCTGCATGCTTAGTTTACTCTAAGTCCTTATGCACATCACTTATGTAAATATCCTGTTTATAAAGAAATGCAAATAAGAAGTCTACAAAACACAAGCTCTGGTCAAGGTGTCAGCTTTAATGGGTTTCCACATCCTCATCCTTGTCAACTACTCATGTAGGTCACTAAAATCCTGTCATGGATTTGTCCGTAATTCCCTGATGGGGAACCAGGCCACCAAAGTGATCCAGGTTAGAAAAAAACCTCCTCTCTTTCTCTTTGAGACACGTTGGCACCCAAGCTCTGGTTCCCAGCACTGTGCCCCAGAGGGAAGAAGGTCTGGCAGGTAAACTGCAGCATGGAAGGACAAACCAGCAAAGAGCAGAAACCTCTTAAGAAAGTTTCTTGTTGCAGGCAGTGTCTCATCCAATTCCATCTCTCCCAGGGCCCAAAGGTGTGATCAACGACTGGAGGAAGTTTAAGTTAGAAAGCGAAGACAGAGACTCCTTATCCTTGAGCAAGAAAGAAATACTTAGACAAATGTCTTCACCACACAGATCCTTCAGTAAAGATGACAAGGACACCAGAGAGAGATTCTGCCGTAAGGTAAGAGCAGCAAAACAAAATAAATTAACTTTGATTCTATGTAAACACACTAGTTATAAGCTAGAAAGTCCTGAATTTCTCAGGCTCAGCTTCTTTGTAACTTAGCAGAGCTCTCACAACCTGGACAGAATAAACTCACGTGCAAACCAGCAGAGCTGGGGAAGGGTCCGGAGCACAAGTCTGATGAGGAGCAGCTGAGGAGCTGTGGGGGCTCAGCCTGGAGAGAACGAGTCTCAGGGGAACATTCTCCCTCTCTACAACTCCCTGCCAGGAGGAGCAGCCAGGTGGGGTCAGGCTCTGCCCCAGGGAACAGGGACAGGACCAGAGACAATGGCCTCAGGCTGTGCCAGCGTAGGTGTAGATTGGATACTGGGGAAAATTTCTTCACCAAAAGGGTGGTCAGGCACTGGCACAGGCTGCCCAGGGAGGTGGTGGAGTCACCATCCCTAGAAGCATCCAAAAAAAATGGCAACATGGTGCTTAGGGACATGGGTTAGTGGGAGACTTGGCAGTGCTGGGTTGATGGTTGAACTTGGTGATCTTAGAGAGCTCTTCTAGCCTCAGTAGTTCCACAATTCTATCTAGTCCTCTCTCAAGTAAAGTCTAGCTTGAGCGTATTTTACATCAGAGCACAGCTTGATTTTTCTTCTTCTTCCCTGCCACAATCCCTGGCTAAGGCAATGCAAAATTTTTAACATGACTAAAAACCTGCTAGTCAGGGTAGAGCTCTGAGCCTGAATGTTATTCATTATAATTTACCAGTTCAGATGGGGGGGACCCAAATCCACCCAAAACACAGCACTTTGACACCACAACAGGCCACTGGCAAAATGCTCACCAACTTTAGAAGATCCAGAAGTTCTTGTGGAATGTGGCAACTGCCTTCAGTACTGCCAAGCTGACATGAAAGTGTTGAGACAGGATCTCCATCCGTCTCTTGAAGAGACCTTCCAGAGTCACTGTAGGCAGTGGTGAACTCTGCTGATTCAGCTTCTGATATTCTGCAGACAACAGCTTGGTCTCATCCTGTGTCAGCTCGCAGGGATTACACACACTAACGAGGTTCTCTCGATCTTCACAGATGAGCATGCAGGAGTACGAGCTAATTCACGACGCGCAGGAAGACGAGAGCTGCCTACAGCAATACCGCAAGCGCTGCATGCAGGATATGCACCAGAGGCTGAGCTTCGGGCCCAAATTTGGTTACCTGTGCGAGCTGCAGAACGGGGAGCAGTTTCTGGAAGCCGTGGAGAAGGAGCACAAGACCACCACAGTGATCGTGCACATTTACGAGGATGGCGTGAAGGGCTGCGACGCCCTCAACAGCAGCCTGACCTGCCTGGCGGCCGAGCACCCCACCGTCAAGTTCTGCAAGATCAAGGCCTCCAACACGGGGGCTGGAGACCGCTTCTCCAACGAAGTGCTGCCCTCCCTCCTCGTCTATAAGGCTGGGGAGCTTCTGAGCAATTTCATTAGTGTTTCTGAACAGTTCAACGAGGAGTTTTTTGCTGTGGATGTGGAGGCTTTCCTCAATGAGTATGGGCTGCTCCCCGAAAGGGAGCTGCCAGCACTGGGAAATGGCAACACAGATGAGCAGGATGTTGAATAATTAGAGCCGTAGTCCTCGCTGTCTCCCTTTTCTCCTCAGTGCGTTGTAACTCCACGTCAGTATCACCCATCTCACTTAGAGAAGGCTCTTTGCTAACTTATTTGTAAGATACACATATATAAATATTGTTTAACTGTTAGTATGTGAACTTCAAACACATAGACCTGGCAGTCCTGTACATAACTATTTGTATGCCAGCCACAAGCACTAGGAAGAACAGCAGACAATGCTGGTGATCTTTAAGAAATTAAACAATTAAAAATTGAGGGCGCACACCTATCTCCTTTCAATGGAGACAGGACTGATCCATTCCTCTGTGCACACAAAAAGCCATCTCCAAGTCTTGGCTCCTCAGAGTCACTTCTACCACTTTGGTAGGAACAAGCAGTTTTAAGGACAAATAAACTGCCCAAGGCCCTTGCATTCCTAAATGACTTGGGTATCTAGGACATTATTTTATGCTTCCACATTTAGCTTTCAATATTCATGAAAAAAGAGAAGTTACTGCAGGGCTTCTCTAAGTTTCTGCTCCAAGCAGCTAGCACAGACACAGCACCAGCCAATTTCAGTCCATCAGTGAACACAGAGCAGCAATATTTAAATGGCTGGGTTTCTGAAAGGGCATACTGTGCTTTAGTTTAGTAAATGTCTGTGCACTTAAAACTAAAGTTTTAAGCTTTGCTAAAGGGAAGCTGCTGAGAACTGTTTGACTAAGAGAACTAAAATATAACAATCCATTTGAGAGGAAGACAAGGGGAAATCTCACTACAAACCTCCCTCTCTCTCTAGGTCTAAAAAATGCACCTCCTCCAGTTCTGATATAACACCAAAACAGCAGCACACCAGCAAGGCTGAGGGCTGATTTTTACTCTGAGGACAGAAGTACCTGTAACTTACTCTAGATCTTAAGCACACACAGTTTTGCTGATAACACTTGAGATCATCAAACACCTAAAAATGATTTCACTTTTCTTTGTTCATTTTTAGAAACCATGGAAATGCTACTGTATTTCTACCTTTAATATTGCTTTGCCCTGGGTGAATATTCTAACAGAGCACAAGAAACCTCACCTCATGTACACTAAGCAATAGGAATGCAGTTCCTTATCACCTCATACAATCTTCTTTAACCTGTAAATGAATTCAGGATCATATTCCAGCAAGAATTCAATCAGCAGGTTCTCAAAATGTTCTGCTCTCTGTATTGCAAACTGCTGAATGAGAGACTGTCATAAGTGTCTCTGGTAGAACTCCAGGTGGAATAAAGCTTTCCCTTGGCACAGTGCTCTGTCCCCTTACTCAGGCATGATGCTGACCCCTCAGCTAAAATCACTTTCATCTTAACATTCCATTTGCATCAGAATATTTGCAGGCCTACCATTTGCAGATACACACAACATCATGAAAACCCAACAATCTTACAAGAGGTTAAAATTTATAATTGTATAAAATTATAGTATCACCAGTTACCTGAGCAGCAGGACAATATCCCACTTGTATTTCTTTACTGACATGATTTAAAGGAGACATGAAAAACCTCTATGTAAGCTGTGGGAACCCTTCCCTCTTTATCCAGCTGTTTGAAAGCTATTAGGCTGCACATCAGCAGCCAGATCAGGTAAGTTTCATTTCTGTGAGAAACCAGGCTGAAAGCAAAAAACCCCAATGATAATGCCACAGAAACTGCACCTATAGCTAGCTGTAAGCAAGAAACTGAGATTCCAGTTTAAGAGACAGTTTAAGCATGCTTAAGCAGGATTTCCTTCAACATGCAATTTGAAAAAAAAACAAACCAAAGAAAAAGCAGACAGGTGGCACCCAAGCCTCAACAGAAGCTCATAACTAATGATGTTGCAAATAAAGCTCTGATCACAGCAGTTATCCATGTTTCTTCAGGAAAAAAAACCACCTTAGAAACAAAAAGCAAGACTTAACTCAAACATTGTATTACTGCATGAAGATTCTTGAGTAACAAACAGTAAATGCTTCAATAAGCACATGGGAGCAGCCTTCCTGCTACGCTGGGCCACGCTTGCTCTTCCTTTTGACTCTGAGTCACAGAGACTCTGAGTGTCCTCAAATATTCTGATGGAGGAGAGCAGGGAACTAATTATCAGTGGTGATACTGCTGATCAAACCAAGAGCAAAATCTCTAGCAGGTGCACATGTCCTGGTTTCAGCTGGGAGAGCTACTTTTGTCCCCAGCAGCTGGCACAGTGCTGCACTTTGGATTCGGCATGAGAATAATGTTGGTAACATGCAGATGTTGCACTGGTGCCGAGTTGTGCTTTCCCCAAGTGAAGGACTTGACAGTGTCCCACGCTCTGCCAGTGAGGAGCTGCACCAGCAGCCAGGAGCCAGCCAGGACAGCTGACCTGAACTGGCCAGAGGGATGTTCTATACCACAGAACTGGCCAAAGGGATGTTCTATACCACGGAATGTCATGCCCTGTACATGAACTGGGGACAGCTGGCCAGGAGGGGCCAGTCACTGCTGGGGGACAGGCAAGGCACTGGCCAGGTGGGTGGTGAACAGCTGTGTTGGGCATCACTTGTCTTTCTTGGGTTGTATTCCTCTCTCTTTTTGTTATCTTCCTTTTCACTACTATATTATTACTGTTATTATATTTTACTTTATTTCACTTATTAAACTGTTCTTACTGCAACCCATGAGTTTTCCCTCTTTTCCACTTCTCCCCCTCACCCCAGGGAGGTGAGGGGGCACTGCGTGGTACTTCAAATCACCACAGCCTGTGCTGTCACCACACCCAACACTGCCCTTGCGTGTGAGCAATTACAAACCTCATGGGCCACGACCACTGAGGCATTTCACAACTACCAAGCAGGGAAGAGAAGGACTCCATAGAACTATTCCATCACATCCATTTCAGAACTACCCTTAGAAGAGCCAGATTTCCAAATGTGGGACCCAAACCATTCCTCAGGACTATTTCATATTAAAATAAACAGATATCTGCACTCATGGGCATAAGTTAACAAAGCTCAGTTTCAGTCATGATGGAGTTTTCACAGGCTGAAAGCCTCAGAGCATTATATATGTAGCAGAAAAAAGATAAACCTAAATGAAACTCGAGCTAAAGTCACACAGTAGTCATGAAACAGATGTACAAGGTTGTTTTCCTTTGCTCTTACACAAACCTTCTGGTTTCCTTTAGCACTCATTTTCTTCCATTATCAATGGCTAGCAGTACGCAAAAGGATGGGACATGAAATCCCCTCTCGGTTAGGCCTGTAGTTCTTAGACAAGTGAGAACCTGCTTTCTTCCACATCCACATTTCCTCATGGCAGGATGACTGGAAGACTCAATCTGTAGGTACAAGTCAAATTACTCATTTTTACTTTGACAAGGTTAAATTAATTTATTGCACAGATGTAGTTAAACAATCTTCTACATGAAAGCTGAGATCTCACCCAAAGCAACATTACAACATTCATTTCCTCCAAGAGGCCCTGCTTGAGCAATACCGAGCACAGAAGATCAACACTGTGTTTCAAAATATACTTGCAATACTAAAAGCAGCACTATTTTTTTCCAAGCATGTAAAAACAGAACACACAGGTGAGGCAATAGTGGTTAAGACACTATTCTCACAGCTGCCTTTAATAATGCATCCCAGGACAGCCTTGATTATGCTTTATAACCAAAGTGTATATACTTTCTGTTCCAGTGCCTTTAAACAAGAAAATGCATAATTGTAGTGGTACTACAATGCCTTAAGATCTGGAATTCTTTTCTGTCGTAGTTCAGGTCCAAGTAAACATCACATTCATATACAAAGTATCTTTTTTCAACACTAGACTTCTTCCCTCCTTCCACACTCCTCATGGCAAGCAAACAGCAATGGTATCCCCCAACATCCCCAGGGAAATATCTTATACTGGAAAGTTCTGTTTATAGTTTAAAAATTCGAGTTAGCAATTAATTTTGACAACTTGCACATACCTACAAGATAAATCACAAGGGCTGCCTACATGGAGCTGTTGCTGAAACAGCTAATATTACAAGAGAACGATGGCTAAATTGGAGCTGGACACACAAATCCTCACTGAGTAAAAGGCAGCACACACACATCTCTCCAGTTCTGTGCACTTCATTGATTTCTGAGATCTCCAGGTCCTGAACTAAAGTACTTACAGGCTGTCTTGGTCTAGTCTTGAAACATCTAGAACTATTGGTTTACATTTTATGCTAATTAGCCAGCATTATCTAAACAATGCATATGGTGAAATGCTGGCTTCATTAAACCTAGTTTTCCCTAACTAATTTTAATGAGATTTCTCTTAGCAAAGGAACCCCTAGAGCAAGAATTGTCGTATCAGGTAACTACACTAGTCTTACTGAGAGCCTGACAAACACCAGTAGCAGTATTTTGCATTAAAGGAGCCAGCAGGAAGTAAATGAAGGGTCTGCATTTCTTTAAGGTATTTTCTAGAAAATAATTTTCATTCATTCATTTATACAGAGCAACAGGGTTAGTTTCTTGTAAACCTGATTCATCTTCTACTTGCTGCTGTACCTGCATAGTTGTACTTGATACAGTAAGTGCATGCTGGAGCAGAAACCTACCATCACTACTTGCATTGCACATCTACCTAGTGATATTTAGGCAACTATTCTTAATGGCTAATATATTAAGTCAAGCTGATCCCATCTTGGAAATGCCCAGCACTTCCACAGAGCTCTGTCTGCTCACTGAGCCTAATCACTGAAGTAGTTGAAGGAGAAGATGGACGCGATGACTGCAACAGCAGCTGCGATGACCACACCTGAAAGCACAAAGGAAACACAGGTCCTGAGTGACAGGGGCAGCACAAGCAGGGGCAAGGTGAATGAGCAGGAGGAGAAACAGTAAGAGCCACCCCAAAAGATGCTTCTCTTAGGCAAAGGCTCTTCCCCCAGAGGTGTTTGGGCACTGAACAGCTCCCAGGGCAGTGTCACAGCCCCAAGGCTGACAGAGCTCAGGAGTGTTTGGCCAATGCTCTCAGCACAGGGAACAGTGTTGGGGTGTCCTGGGCAGGGCAGGTGTTGGACTGATGGTCCTTGTGGGTCCTTCCAGCTCAGGAGAGTCTGTGACTCTACCTACCACTGCAAAGCCTAAATCAAAATCTCTGTCAGATAATGCAATGGTAAAAACTCCACATGACATTTCTCATCAGAGCAGGATCAATCCAGAAATCCAGCTGGCAGCATACTTTTGTAGTACCTTGGCCACATCCTGGCCCATAAAATAATGCACCGACTCTCCTGCTTCATTCTAGGTATCAGACTGGGAAGAAGTAACAAAAAATGTAAGCTTTAAGAAACAAAAGCGATTAAGTATTTTCCTTTCTGTGCAGCACAGCATCTCCTCTGTAAGTCTCTCTGTGGCACAATAGTCATTTTCCTGTTGATTAACATGCTGGTAACTGACACAGTTGAGAAGACACACACAAAACCCCAAAACACCTGAGTAATGATTCAAGGGAAAACATTTTTACACCCAAAGCAAAAACAAATTAACTGCTACTGCTCTTTAATCTCCCAGTTACCATGTTCTAACAAAAGTTACTTCTTTGTTGCCTAAAGTGTAACTGCATTTTAATACAAAAGGATTCAGAGCACAGAGAGCTGCATTACATGGGGACACAGAGGTGAGAGCTGGACAAAGCAGGATTGTGGAGAAGAGAGGAGAGTTCTGTGGCTGATGTTCCCTGAATTCCTGGAAGGCTGTGGGTGCTAACAGTACTGCAGGGGCCCACGGCAGGTTCTGGATTGCCATAGGAAAAATCAGGGAAGCAACCTACCCATGTTTTGTTGAAGCTTCAAGAGCAGCGTTGCCTTGGTCAGCTGTGTCTGTGGTGCGTCATCAGTGTTGTCAGGGACTGGACAGACATCAACTGCATGGAAATCAAGCAAGGAGATAAACACCAGGAGAAAATTAACAGCTGCACTTTATAGTCAATCAATGCACAAGGCCAAGAACTTCATATCAACCTTATAAAGTATATTTATGGTAGAAAAAGAACAGTTTATTGCAGTAGAAGCAGTACAGCAGCAACAGCCCAGGGCTGAACTATGTGGCTGGAAGAAGAGACAAAATGGATTTGAGAAGGAGTTCCTCTCATTCTCCACACCCAGGTACCACTGTAACAGAGCCAACTCTCTGAGAGGGAACCACCAAAATTTACCATTAACCACCTTCTAAGAATTTCCCTTCATAGCCACCTGTCCACAGTTCAGGCCACATGCAAACCCCACTGCCAGGAAAAGAGTGAGCCCAGCATCACTTCCCTGCTCAACCACCATAAATGCATTTCTTCAAACCACAGAAATTTCTTTTTGAAGATCCCCTAAAAATACCCTTTCAGAGCAGGGAGTGGACTCATTCGCCTTTGGAACAATTACTAAATCCTTAGTCTGCTCAGCCAGGATGTGAGAGAGCTTGAATCTATTTCCGGACGATGGGATTCAAAAACCCCTATCTATTTCCTTCCCAAAGATTTCCCTAATCACCTGGCTATTCCCAGCTCGTTAGAGAGGGGGAGGGGAGAAAGAGTGGCATTAATCTGGAGCCCTCCAGCCAGACCTGTTTGTTCCACACAGAGCCAGCGTGGATTTTGCAGCTCTGCAGTAAGCTTCCTCAGTGGTGGTGGGACCAAGGTCTTCAATTTGCAATGCCTTCCCCACGAGAGTTTGCCAAGTCATCACTTGTCAAATGTTAGGTTTATAATTCAGTAGCTGCTATTGCAGACATCTTCTGGACCAGCAAACAGCCAGAGAAAGTGTTTGTGTACTGCAGAGAGAGCTGGAGGGCTCTGGAGAGAACAGAATAGCCAAGAAACCCCCAGCAGTACCAGATACCAAGTGGAATACTGACCAAAGGAAAAGCAGCTCTCTCATGTCTACAGCAGGGCTGTCCATCAGCTGTATATGACAAATTACATACTTGGGTAATAAGGCACATCCTTTGAATGACTCATATGCAAATGATTCAGGGAGAAGTATTTCTCTATGGTATCATTAGCTCTGGTGGAAATGTATAAGCTAGACGTGAACAGAATGGTTGTTTCTGCCATCTAAGATGAGTCATGTGGATGATTGTCTTCAAAATCTTCCGAAGTTGAACTTGCACAAGAACTGTTACACCAAACCACTCAAACTAGATGTTTAGGACCCGTCTTTAGCCTTTTTTTTGCCACTGAACCCACTGAATTTGTATATGATGTACTGCAGCAGAGCAATTAATAACTGTCTGATAGGAAACTTAACAAGATAGTGAGATAATGCACAGGCTCATGTCTCCGAGCAAAGCATTGCTTGGAGATGTCTCCGCAAGCTGCAGAGACCTAAAATCAAAGTAGGGACACAACACAGTGCAAGGGGTACTTTCTGAAGAGAAATTATCAAACATCACTGAATGCCACTGCTCCTCAAGGGGCCATGGATTCATATTTATCTTTTCTGTGCCAAGGAAAACACACCCTCAACTGCCTAAAACATGAGCAGAGATCTTAGCTAGAGGAATTACTAATTGTTGCAATACAGCTTTTTAGCAAGTATCTCAACTAGCACAGTAAGAGCAGCACATTCTGCCCAGAGCTTTTAATTCCCTAAACCAGCCCTTTGGGATAAAAAGGTTTAGGATGGGTTTAGGAAGAGCAGGTCCTGTCTGACCAACCCGATCTCCTTTTCTGATCAGGTGACACACCTGGTGGATGAGGGGAAGGCTGTAGATGTATTCTACCTGGACTTCAGCAAAGCCTTTGACACTGTTTCCCATAGCACACTCCTGGAAAAGCTGCAGCCCATGGCTTGGACAAGGCACTCTCTGCTGGGTGAAGAACTGGCTGATGGCCCAGAGAGTGGTGGAGAACAGCGCCACATCCAGTTGGTGCCAGTGACTAGTGGTGTTCCCCAGGGGTCAGTGCTGGGCCCAGTGCTCCTTAATATCTTTGCTGATGCTTTAGATGAGGGGATTGAGTGCACCATCAGCAAGTTTGCAGATGACACAAAGTTGGGCGGAGTGTGGATCTGCTGGAAGGCAGGAGGGCTCTGCAGAGGGACCTGGACAGGCTGGAGAGATGGGCTGAGTCCAAGAGGATGAGGGTTAGCCAGGCCAAGTGCTGGTCCTGCACTTTGGCCATAACAATGCCATGCAGTGCTCCAGGGTGGGACAGCGTGGCTGGAGAGCACCAGGAGAAAGGGACCTGGGAGTGTGGAGAGACAGAAAGCTGAACAGGAGCCAGCAGTGTGCTCAGGGGGCCAAGAAGGCCAATGGCATCCTGGGCTGGAGCAGGAACAGTGTGGTCAGCAGGACCAGGGAGGTGATTCTGCCCCTGCACTCGGTGCTGGTGAGGCCACATCTTGAATCCTGTGCTCAGTTCTGGGCCCCTCAGCTCAGGAGGGACATTGAGGGGCTGGAGCAGGTCCAGAGCAGAGCAACGAGGCTGGTGAAGGGACTGGAGCACAAGTGCCATGAGGAGAGGCTGAGGGAGCTGGGGGTGTTCAGCCTGGAGAAGAGGAGGCTCAGGGGAGACCTCATCACCCTCTGCAACTCCCTGACAGGAGGTTGGAGTCAGGTGGGGGGTGGTCTCTTCTCCCAGGCAACAGCAGCAGGACAAGAGGGCACAGACTCAAGCTCTGCCAGGGGAGGGTTAGGTTGGATATTAGGCAGAGATTTTTTAGGGAGAGAGTGCTCAGGCATTGGAATGTGCTGCCCAGGGAGGTGGTGGATTCCCCATCCCTGGAGGATTTCAAGCTGAGACTGGATGTGGCACTTAGTGCCATGGGCTAGTGACCATGGTAGGGTTGAACTTGATGATCTTGGAGGCCTCTTCCAACCTGGTTGATTCCAGGACTATATAATGTGACCCCATTTCTTGGGTCACCTTTGAAGTCTAGACCCAGCAGGTTCCTTTCTGCTTTAGATGATGAGCAAGTAGGACAGTCTGTGCCCCTCTACCTTGAGGTTTCTTTGTGCTCTGTAAGAACAGCTTTGCTTCTCTGCAGGCACCTTTTGGTCTGCACAGAGGGGGAGAAAGAAAAAAGGAAAGGGCAAAAAGAATCACCCTTGAGCTATTTAGTTACCAAAGGCTTTATGCCATTGTGCTTTGGCACACCTGCACATGAAGCTGCTGTAGTGTAATCACACACAGAGCTTTCATAGCAGATGTGTTTCCCAATACCAATTACATGAATCTTTAATTCTTCATTAACTCTCCAATTTGCTAACAAAGGTGGCGAAGTGATTACCACTACTGCAGTCTTATTTGTGTCTATCCACTCAGGGTATTTAACTCCCCACCCCTGCCCCAAGGAGGAGCAGAGATTTAGTAAAGCCAATCACAAATGCAGAGCTTTCAGCTGCTTGTACTAAATACCTTGAAACTACAGCATTAGAGCTATTTATATCTTTCATTATAAATAGCTTGGGTTTTACTTTCTATTTCCCATGTAACAATTTTAAAGCATGACCCGGTAGTGCCCTCCCTGGAGAGCTGTATAAGGAATAAGAGACTAAAACTGTAGGAGATGGCTGCAGAGGCCAAACTCAGTAAGCATATGAAACTGACCTTCTCAAAATACCTTTATTTCATACGTTTTGACTAAAAGCTGCTTAAAAAAAATATCAGTCTTTTGCCTGTACTGATTAGATCCTCTTCTGCTCGAGTCCCTATTTTAAAGAGCAACAAACAAAAGGAATTATTTCCAAAGCCTGTTCGTGTCCCTGAATTCCAAACAATTCTCCTTATCAGCAAACTTTCCCCAGAAGCTCACCATGGAAAGCATCTCCAGTTAACTCAAGGCTGGTGCCTCAGACCACAGGAACTGTGATACCAACAGAAGGACTCACAGCAAAATTTACTACAAAGTACTTCCTGAATATTAACAGAGCTGGGTGAGGCAACATGTGCTGTCCAAACCAGCGCTGCCTGAAACAGCCTTTACACAAGGGAAACCTCAAACACTCAATAGGCCACAAAAACACATTTATAGGAACACTCAGACACTTCATACCAAAGCAACAATAACGATCAAACTGTGTAATGAATGTTTGTTTCGCAGAAGGCATTTACCAGGTCTCGTTTCCAAAACGACCTCCAGGTGTGAACAGAAGTGTATGAATGACTCGTGACTTTAGCAAAGCACACATTAATGAAGACACAGCACTAATTACCGGAGTGGTGCAGCACTGTGCTGTCACTGCTGTTAACAGCTCCCATTCTATGGTGCTTGCGGGCACAAGGCCAGCCTCTCAATCTTCTCCAAAACCCACGGCCATGTTTCTCCCTCTCCTGTGCACGCACTTTAACTGGTCAGTTGGGTTTTTTTGAAGAAAATGTATATGTACTTTAATTTGCTTTTTTTAAAGAAACTAAATTCTCCGCACCTACCTACACCCAGCAAGCTGCAAGAATACACAAGCTCCTCCTGTGTGCACCATTTCACAGACGTTACTGGCACCAGTCTCTTGATGCACTGCTGTTGCTGTAAAGGGGTTTCCTTCCCACTCCAGATCACACATCCTTACATAAGCACTGAAGCTAAACTGAATCACCTTCTCCCTCCCTCCTGCGTCTATCTCCACTGCTACAACAATACTCATTTGCTTCCCTAAGTTCTACTGATTCCTTAAAGCTCAGTAGGCATTAGCTTTAAGAGCATGAAAGTTACTCTAATAACACAAGAGAGATTTTTATTGGCTTTCCTGTTTTCCCTGAGGTTCTTGAGCCATGTACATCTTTTACTGCTCAAGATAATGAGTCAGATTCATAGCCACAGGTTGAGTTAAAGCCTTTGGGGGGAACTGATTCATTTAGAGACGTAAGAATTTATGGTTAACTCTGAAATTAAGAAACTCAAAAAACCCTCCAAGTAACTGAGTAGGTCAAGGAGAATATCAGTACTCACAGTGCATCCCACACAGTAAGTCATGGCTACACCCCCCAGTTTTTGTCCCTAAATACCATTATTTAGTTGAATTACAGAACTTTAACCTGCAGCTCATATTCACGCTGATGGTGGAAAAAAAGGGGAGAAAAGAATTCTCTTCTGTAAGATCACAGCAAGTATTATTAGATGCATTTCAGCATCAAAATTGACTTTTATGTTGAAATCAGTGTCACATGGGAATCAAAAAAAGCCAACAGGGAAGGATATTAACCAGAAATGTTCAGAAAAACAAAGTCAGCAACTAGATAACAGCAAAATATCTGCATTAAAAGGAATACAACGGTCTCACAATCAGATCAGAAACTTTAAGACATTCAGCAGAACATGAAAAGTGCTCTCAACTTTTTCATCTCAGGTGAATCACAAATCTTCAGGTTTGGGCACTGCATTTGGTAGATAAATTAAAACACTCAGAACAAAGAAAGGTACTTCGCATTTTTTAAGGAGTCAGGTTTAGTTCCTGAAAGACACACTAGACTATATGTAACTTTGGCTAATAGAATTTTTAAAGTATTTTTTAATTCTTTAGTGAAAGAACACTAGATTTGACTATACCACTCAACTTCTTATTCGAACTTACTCTAAGTAATGTCAGAACTACTCAGCTCTAGAAAAGCTGAACTACTGGAAGAGTAAACAGATACATGAATATAAAGATTATAAAGCTTCACAGGTTCCTCTGTCAGTTTATTTGTCAGTATAGGATCACCTCTCATTCGTGTGCAGAGTAACACAAGCTAACCTTGTTTAACCATCTCTGCAGGTTTCTACTGCAGCTCATGGGCTGCAACCATGAGGGCACAGAGTGCAGGGAAAGGGCAAAATATCTGAGAGAACTCTCACAAGAAACATGGGATCTGCAAGGAACTTGACCATTTTCCACAAATATCTTTAGTTTGTAATTAGATTGATATACACCCTTGGAGTTTGATGTGACATATGTGACTTTAGGCATACCCAGATCTGGATAGCTCTGGCCTATGCCATCACTCAACATTTTCCTCACCCATGATGCAGACCATCCTAGTTCTCAGCTATTTACCTATGCTCATTTCCTCTGCCATGTGGATATCTTCAGCTTGCACAGGCTGATCCAACAGCTCAACAAACCGTTCCTGAATTTCCCCAGTGGCCTCATCACCGAACTTATAATCGCTGAGCATCACACTGGACCCAGCAACAGGGACAAACAGTCTCTGAGGTAAGACATGATATTCCCTCTCAAAACCTAGAAGAAAAGAGGCGAAAAATACCACCCAAATAAAAGCCTTGTCAGTTATAAGATTCCTCATTAATCTCTGAGCATAAGATAAAGCTATTGCAAAAGAAGCGTTCAAGGTCTCTGTGTTGTCAGGCTGTTTTCAGGCATGGCTTGTTTAGTTGTCACTGTTTCGTGCAAGTTCTGGCTGCTACTATATTCATTTATGTTCCTACATTATTAGTCTCTCCAGAAATAGCCAAGAGAGCTCCAGAACAGCCTGCAAAACGTTGATCAGGGCTTTCCTCAGGCTCACAAGGCCTAGCGAGGCAGGCAGGGGAGCCGGATCGGCAGCAGAGCGCCGCGGGCACAGCGTGCGCCTGCCACCTGCAGAGAGAGCCCACAACCACATGCGACTGAAAAGCCTTTCCTGCATCTAACAAATCCCAATTAACTAACCTTCGGTTTAAAAAAAGCGTGCAAGCTGCAGTTGGAACTTCGGAGAGAGGAGATTCAGCTACAGAGTTTTTTAAAATTACAAAATTTCCAACGAGTGAGGAAGAAGCTGAAATCGTGTTTTGTGGTCACAGGAGCTGAACCCAAACGTGGTGGGAAAGCTGTGATGTCAAAGGACACAGCTGAGCCTGACAGAAATACTTCAGATTTAAGGAAAAGTCAAGGCTGCCAAGCAGAAACCGTGCCCTTTACCCTTTACCACACTGGAGCTTCACTACACGAGAATTTTCTACAACAACCAAAATTCACTCAAATGTAAACTGTTGGGTTTTGTAATTCTTACTCTTTTTGTGAGGTCCTTCATTTAAAATCAGATCTTCAAATAGTATTTCACACCGATCACTCAGTGTGTTTATGATGTCTCTCTTCAAAGCCTGCAAGGACAAAGCGAAACCATCGGCAACAGAAAAGCCATTTGCAAACTCCTGACTAGTAAGAAATAACTACAGAGCTCCCTCATACGTTTAACCCATGGTGAAAGAATGACTTTTCCCAGAAAATAGAAACTCTAAAGAGAACATTTCAAAGCTCAACAGAGAGAAGATAACATCAAAATAATTAACATCAAGGAAGAACTCAACAAAACAAAAATTAAAAAGCTGAGGAAAATTTTAGGATTGTTAGGGTAAGAACTGACAACTTCTAAACATTATCATTAACTCAGTAAGGGGAAAAAAAACTGACAACTTCTAAACATTATCATTAAAACCAGGCAAAAATAATCACAAGGCATTAACTCAGTAAGGGGAAAAAAACCAATTCCTGAGGAAATAAACTTGTATTTTCCCTTTACACATAACAAATATTTATTTTCTAATCCTTTTTCGATTTTAAGAGACTTCTTCAAAGCCTAATCACTTTGACAATTTGTGCAAAGACTCACCAGAAACCCAAGGGGAGACATACCCTGTAGGGGAGCAAACCCACCCCTGACACACGCAGATGGTTTCCCAAACAATCCCCACGTTCAAGGGGATGAACATTTCGATCCCAGTTTAGACCATTTTAGCAAAAAAAGCCCAGTGTGACCAATTTCCTGTTTCTGATGGCCTGACACCCGTGCCCCTACCTGAATGGCCTCTCTGACTCTGGGCTTGCTGCCGTGGACGTAGGCTCTGCCCTTCACAGCCCCGCGGAGGTTGATGGAGCCGCAGCACACCTGCACCGTGGCCGTCGATCTCTGACCCGAGCCCTGGCACTGCAACACAGACATAGCTCCAGTCTCTCCTGTTCCCAGGGCACTTGCAGCACAAGCAACAAAAAACAGAACTAGCAAATTAACAGATGTTTACGTACTGCCTGGTTTCCCTCATAATTTATAACTCTGATTTTATTTTAGTTTTTAGCTTGGTTAGGTAAGACTGAAAATCTCTCTTGCATTACGGAAGAAGTATTTGCTTTTCCAGATGTTTCAAATATTTGTGTCTACAATACTTCTGAAACTTTCCAGGCTTCTGGCTAACATTGGTATTGCAATGGATAAATCTTTTTAGGACTTTCATTTTTAAGCAGTGATGTTCTGATGTTTAATATCCAGTCAGTGTAACCCAGAGAATCATGGCAGACAGCCCCTCAGTCAGCATTGACCACATGTGGTCATCTGCATCCAACTGCTGCCTAGAAATGCTCACCCTGATCACCCCAAGAATGAGTGTGTGCATGGAGCACTCTGGGACAACACCCAGAAATAAGAAAAGCACACTTCCACCGCAAATGCACAAAGTACTTCTGCCAAAATACAAAGGTTTCCTTTCCCAGATGCAATTAGCCACTGAGACAATGTAACAACAGAAGCAGCTGAGACACTCATTGAGCCATTGGAAATGTACAAAATGCCATTTCAAGTTTTGCTGAACATAACCTCAAAGAATGTAGGAATCACCTGACAAAACAGGATGGGTTGTGCTGTGCAAGAAGCCTACAAAACAATGCCTGGACACCTTGGGGCTTCAGGCCCTAGGCTAGGTACCAGCTCAGGGTTCATCATAACCTCTGGCAAACTCCTGACAGATCCAGCAGCTCCAGCTGCTGATTCAGGTCATGGAACCTGTCCCTTAACCCAGGGCTGTTGACCGAGCTCCTGACCAGACCACCCAAGTGACTGTCCAAGTGAGCCATAGCAGGCTGAAGTGTGGGGGTGGTTCTGAACTTCAGGTGCAAAGCCACCCTGAAATTCATGTACATGGGTACAGAGAGGTGTAGATACACAAAGGCTGAGGATCAAATATGCTGAATTTCTAGGCAATAATTCATATTGCTATTTTATCTTTTACTCTGTTTTCTAATCTAACATAACAGCAAGGTTATACTTTACAAACCACCTGGCCACTTACCAGCTGCGTCAGAACTTTGACATCACAAAACTGAGGGCTGGACGGAGTGTTTCCTTTCAACTTTTTCTGAGGGGAAACAGGGAAAAGGCAATCAATGAATCAGCCTCCTCACTATGGCATAAAACATGCCCTAGTTTGTAACTTTTAAGAGGGAAAATGTCACACAGAAACCAGCCATGAGAACATAAGTACAAAAGTAAAAGGAGAAATGAATGCATCAGCCAAACAAGGTGCTAACACAATCTGCTAAACATTCAGACATATGCTACATTCAGATCTTAACTCATGTTCCTTAATAGAAACATTTCAGACACTTCACATGTAACTAATGCATTGCCATTGCCAGAGGGGGGAGAGGAAATCTGCAGCAATGAAGCCAAGAACACAAGAATTTCTGTGCCTTAGTTACTTGAATAGGCCAGTGAGATCAGCAAACAGAAGATGCCTCAGGCAATACTTTATCCCACTGGAGGTTCTACTGCACATCTCTTGGGGCTCGATTCCTTGTTGTTTGGTACTCACCTGCCCTTCCAGTAACTCTGTATCATCATCTTTGACTTGCCCATTGATCAGAAAAACACTGTCTTCTATCTGTTTAGACCATCGGTTTAACCCATTCTTTAAAAAAAAAATGAAAACAGGTAAACTCATAAAGAGGACAGACAATTTCACTAGAGCTGGACAGTATCATGCTGAAAAGTATAGAATGACATGCTCCAACTGCTCCCCCAAGAGAGTTTTAAAAGCCTCTGAGAAATCTGCCTACAGGCTTTTCCAAAGGCAAACCTTAACCCACTGCTGTTCAGGACACAGCCCTAAGAAACCAGCAACATTCCAAAGGGCACCTCAGGGCTCTGGGGTTCTAGAGGGCTGCAGCTCACTGAACACCAAATCATATTAGAAGTACCCCAAACCCCTGCTCTAACAGAGTGCAACCCTTCCCTAGGTGAGGCAGCAGAGATCTCAGTGGGATACTCATGACACTTGCTAAATAATTTTGAGCACAGGAAACTTCTCACTAAGCACAGCAGAAGAATTACATTTAAATAAGGAATAACGACCAAATACCATTCACTGATTAGTCCTATTCCTCTGCTATTTAAGTCTTACTACACTGCTTTCTCTGTTGAAAGTTAAATGAGAGAGTAACTGGTGCAGGCAGGTAATTACCTTGGTGTTCTTCTCCAGGTCGTGGTTCAGGGAAGTAGCAAGAAGTGGAATGTGAATATTGACATTTACTGTGCAGCTCAAAGCTAACCAGGAGGCAGAAAGAGCACTCTGGTATTTCCAGTCTGCTGGTTTAGCTGAACTCTGAGGGCAGAAAACAGTAGTAAATCATCCATACAGAACACTGTACAACTCACACGGACACTGATTGTTTGCACATCCCTTGCCATGCACTCAGAGCTGCACATGGCGTGGCAGGACGAGCTCACCTTGGGATCCTGTATGTCGTAGGTTCGGCAGACTACTCTTGGCTACTTAAAGAAAACGATTCAGGGAAAAGCAAGAGGACAAGTAAAAACAATTCACAATTAACTTTGCCCTTTACTAAACTTCTTTGTTGCAACAATTGGTGCCTGGAGCAAGTGCTCACCTTTCATCAGGGTCAAAACCTGGAAAAGCCTTTGCCTGTACACCCCAGCTAGCACAGTGATGCTGTCCCATCTCTTACACAAATGAAGATCAGGGAGAGCCACCAAAAGCCCCAATGTGCGATTTGTCCTGGTTCCTCTCACCTCTCTGAGGAACATCCTTGCTTCCTCTCCTTGTATTGTCTCATTACCAACAGACCCAGCATTCCTCTGCAGCACTGGCACTGATCCCACATGCCTGCTGCTTCCCCAGTTCCATTAAGTCCCACTGGTAACAGAAAGCTCAGGAAGCCAAACTATTTCATGTTTTCTTCAATTTATCAAACCAAGACTGACTGGAGAAAGTGTAATTTGACGCCACCACACAGACAAATCTAACAGTCATGAACAATGGGATGCAAGGATAAGAGGGTCAATTGCCTTATTCATAGCTAATCAGAAAACATCTTTATTTCAACTTCTCTCTGTCTAGCTGAAGTTAACCCACTGCCTGCTCCCAGTTTCATTGATTCAGCAGTAACTAGGGCAGTAGGTTGGGGTTGGAGCCTCAGCAGCAAACCTTGCCCCAAAGGATACTTCTTTGTGACAGAACACATTTGAAGAGCTGCTCTGTCTGAGACCTCCTCCTCAGCAGGTTTCCAGAGCCTTCTTTTACTCAAAGACTTTTCCACTGAGAAGATTACCTAAAGATAAAAAGGTAGAGATTTTCCTACAAAAATAATGCATGATAATTGGAAAATAGTCTTGTGCTAAAGCCCCAAGACCAGGTGACATCAAAATCATGTATAAGGAGGAAACACAGCTCACATGTCATCAAAATGTCATGCTAATAGAACATTCAACAAGGACTCATAGGAGACTTCTGCAAAGTGAAAGCAGCTTGTGAAATCCTAGTTTAGCTTCCCTATAAACCAAACCAAGCAGCACACACTCACATATCCAACTTGGATGCTTTTCTCCTTACAGAAACGCTACAGCTCCATGCCTAGCGGCCGAGGACCAGGAAAGGCAGCCATGCAAAACAGCTACTAGTTACAGAACCCAAACCAAATAGCACTTTTTTAATTCAGCAGTACCTGACCACCTGGACATGGCTTACCCTTTTTTGTCAGCTACTAGTTTCAGTAAGCACAACTAAGATCAAATTGCACTAAACTGCCAAAACTGAATCTTGGCCCTCAGGCTTCCCAACCTGCTCATGTTTAAATAACTTCCTCTGTTTATCCTATGAAAATGACAAAATGAGCCTGTATCTTCAGAACAGACACTAAATGTGGCACTGACTGCCCCAATTCTGTAACAAAAACGCGTATCAAATCTCTCAGACAGTTCTCAGCAGGTTACAAATTCAATCCCACACATCTAAGTCAAATACACCGGTTGTACGGATGTTCTGTAGATACTAAAAAGTGTTTCTTTTACAGGAATCGGAGCTATTTGCCATAAGCCAGAATGTCCATGTCCAGCAAACACAGGGAGTAGAAACTCAGGTTTGCTATCGCCGCGACAACCACGAAACAAAACAGAAGGTCAGCAAAGAGTGTCCCACTGGACAGGGATGGCTGAGGTGTCAGCCTCAAACCCACACACCAGCCACGGGGTTTGTGCACGCTGAAGGAAAGCCACAAAACAACTGCACATACTCAAGGCAATGACAGAAGTTCCAGGGACACAGCCCTGAAGATATCTCTCCCTTCCCCCAGGAGTTCTGCCTACCTTGCGCAGAGCACTCTGGCTGTCCTTGGCCAGGTCTGGAGTGGCAATGAGGAACACCCCGAGAACCAGCAACCCCCCAGGGAGCATTCTGGACACCTTAAATACAGAAAGGTACAGGGATCAGCCCCCCAGCCACCATGATACATCTGAAACTGCTGCTGAGACAAGCATGCACCAGGAGCAGAAGGGAAATCAGTGGGCAGTTTTCCACTTCTGTGACCCTCTGCAGTGTAGGAACACATCAGGCAAATGTTCTCCCTTCTGCCCTACAAGGTCTGAAAACAATACAGATAGTTCTGGTTTAAAACCTGTTAGGAAGGTTCTCTCACTTTGAGAGTCTTGAGGTGACACAAGTGATGAGATACTTTTTGTTAGTGTTGTTCCCCCTGTGGTCCCCCCACCCATTTGCCACCCGACCTGGTGGGTTGCTCACCTGGCTGGCATGTGTGGTGATCCACTCCTCATCCAGGGATGCCAGGTTTGGGGGGCTGCTGCTCCCCTCCTGCTGTAGGTCCCTGGAAGGGGTGCGCACAGCCCGGATGATGTAGTCTCGCTGCAAGGAACACTAAAAACACCAAGATAAGCAAACACACCGTGAGACTGGTATCAGGCCTGAGAATAGGGGTGTCCCAGTTCCCAGGAGGTCATGGAGCTCAGGCGTTTCACACTTACCTGCCCTATCAGCAGCCCAGTCACATAGGGCTTTCCTTTTGTGCTGAGCTCTGACAGATACTGCCCGATTGCTTCCTCCACAAAGTAGGTCCTGCCCATGGCTCCAGGGCAGGTGTGGTAGCTCCAACCTGCATAACAGTGTGTGGAGTCAAAGGAGGTAGATGTACTGCAATAGGTACAGGGCAGAAAAGAGTCTCACACAAAGGTCCTTCAGAATTGTTTGAGTTGGAAAATCCCTCTAAGGCCATTAAGTCCAACTATGTTCCAGCAGTGCCAAGACCACCACTAATCATGTCCCCAAGAGCCACACACACATGGCTGTTAAATCCCCTCATGGATGGTGACTCCACCCCTGCCCTGGGCAGCTGTGCCAGGGCTGGAGAGTGAAGATATTTTCCCTTATATCCAACCTGACCCTTCCCTGGCACAGCTTGAGGTGTTTCCTCTTGTCCTGTCCCTTGTTCCCTGGGAGTAGAGCCTAACCCCAAGGAAATGAACAGAAAGTTCTTAGTTCCATTGTCTGATCATGCTACTGACTCTTTCGTTCTTGGCATGAACAATTGCCTCTATTCCTTTTATGGAATGGGGCTTTCATCTTCTTCACCGTCTTCAGGTGTAGATTAAAATGGCTTTATAGCTATATACCTTACAATAAGTCCTCTCATCAAAATCTGAAGTGATTTAGTAACTGATTTCACACCACAGAGCTGTTTTTCAAACAAGATAAGTTGTTCATAGCTGAACGAAGAACTGCATATGTGCGTACCTCATTCTTTAGCTGTAAAGCCCACAGGGACCCTAATTCTGTGTGAAAAGTTCTTAGCCTCATTCTCTGCTCATGCTACTGACTCTTTTGAAGTTCTTTGCATGAACAGATTGCCTCCGTTCTTTTCATGGATCAGGGCTTTCACCTTATTGCTTTCCTTTTCATCTGCAAATGGCACACCCAAAGGCCTGTCTTCCTAGAAGTCTGCAGGACTGTGTCACAGAGTCCCAGAATCACTGAGGTCAGAAAAGACCTCCAAGATCATGGATTCCAACCTGATGTCCAACCTGAGCCTCTCCTGGCACAGCCTGAGGCCATTGTCTCTGGTCCTGTCCCTTGTTCCCTGGGGGCAGAGCCTGACCCCTCCTGGCTGCACCTCCTGGCAGGGAGTTGTAGAGAGGGAGAAGTTCCCCCTGAGCCTCCTTTTCTCCAGGCTGAGCCCCCACAGCTCCTCAGCTGCTCCTCATCAGACTTGTGCTCCAGACCCTTCCCAGCTCTGTTCCCTTCTTGTTGTGAGGGGCCCAGGACTGCCCCCGGGGTCTGAGCTGTGGAATTGCCTCCGAGCATCAGTTTTGTGCTGCATGATGTTTCATCAGGGGCACTGAAGAATGCAAAGTGTGCTGTTTACCATTCACTCCTCTTTGAGGCACTTGCTAAACTCCACACGTGCACCTAAACATGCTGTGCACAATTCTCACTCCAACTCCCAAGGCATTCCAAGCACACCATCCGTGGCCTTAACCGACAGTACCTCTGCAGCCCCAGAGAGCGGCACAGACAGCCCTCCCGTGTGAGCAGGGCTGTCCTGAACACCACTGCGTGCAGTTCCAGCTGCCACCCGGGGTGAACCAGGAGAAAGCCGCAGCTAAAGAGTAGGCGGGGAGGAAGCAACGTGGACTCAGAGCCCCCGCAGAGCTCTCTGCGGGGCACAGCGGCACAGGGACGACAGCGCCGAAGGCTATCACCTCAGCTCAGCTCGGCTCAGCTCAGCTCACCTCAG